TTGAGGAAACCTGCAAGGAGGGAGCAAAGCGTGCCTAAGAGAGAAGCTGTGGGAGCAACAGCCACCAGAAGGGCCATAGGGTGGTGCCGTGCAAGCCCTTTGGAGCTCACAGCTTGCCACAGTTTGTCTTGGGTGCTACACGTGCAACTAGAGGACTTAATATTTGTCCTGCTGGATTTTGGTCTTGCTTTGGTTCCAATCCTTTGTATCCCCATTTTGTAACTTTTAGAATGGAAATATCTACTTTGTGCCATTGAATGTTGTGTTTAGCGTTTCATTTGTGCAGGAGCTCACAGCTAAGAGTTTGCCTTAAATCTCAGAGACCTTAGACTTAGACTTCTCAGCATTGCTTAACCTGTTATGACTCTGGCAGCTCTTAGAGATGGACTAAATGCCTTTTTCATAAAGAAATGTACATGAGTCATGGTTTGTGTCTAGATACCCCTCTGCCCAAAGCATCACATGGTCATAGGGAGGGCTTTTCGAGGGGTGGCTGAATCTAGAGTTTGTGACTGGTTCATTTTCTGATGCTGGATTGGGGTGTGAGTGGTACGTCTGCCCCATGGCAGGTAGCCTGCACACAATAGGAGGTAGGGAAAGAGGCTCGCTCTCCTTTTTCTCTTGTGGCTTTTGCTGTGCTCTGCGGGCATGAACGGCTGCCCCCCAGCTTTGTGCCATCCTGCCTTGGAGCCAGCTGATATGGACTGAAAATTCTACAAATTCAGTTAAATAAAGCTTTCCCTCTTTAAAAAAAAAAGTATATTCTGTCACTCAGTTTCTCTGTCCCTCCCCTTTTATCCCTCCACTTCCGTTTTATTGAGACAAGCTCTTACTATGTTCCTTTCTTTTGATATCTGCCTAGAATTGAACTTTAACTTTTAAAAAGCTAGCCAGATTAGTGATCAGAAATAAATTGGTTGACTAGAGAGGACTAGAAAAAAATAAAGGGAAATAGAGGAGCACAGAAAATACGTATCAAACATAAGAGAAAGGGTGGTACAGTGCTATGGCTGAGTGCAAAAGGGGACAAGATCGTCCCTCTGAGGTCTGCCTAGCTCTGACTTTTTGAAAAAGAGACTAGAGCCCTTCAAGAATTACTACATTTGCCAGGAATGGTGGCACATACCTCTAATCCCAGTATTCTGGAAGACTGAGGCAGAAAGATTGCAAGCTTGAGCCTAGGCTGAGCAATTTAGCAACTGAGTAAGCCTGTATCTCAAAATTTAAAAGAGGAGAAGGGTCTGGGGGTGTAACTCAGTGCAAAGGACCTGGATTCTATCCCCAGTACTAGGGGGGAAAAAAGAATGGCTAAACTTTCCACCATGGAAAAGATAGATTTTTGAGCTAATGTTGAGGTGCTTTTTGTGTTTTGCGGTTTATTTTGCTTAATCAGCAGTGCCCCACTTGCCATCCCATTCAGTAAGACAAAATCACAAGAGCACCTGTCACCCAGAATCAGTTTGCTTTCAACTAGGTTAAGAGATTAAATAAAAATCTCATACTCCACACTGGAGTTTTCTGGGCCCTTGTGAAAGGCAGACTGAGTTACCCATGAGGACAGAGACTTGAAGAAACCGATACTCCATAGGTAACGTGGAACCATTGACATGCGGAGTTGCTGGCTGGCGGTCTGCATTTGCTGTTTCCGTTACTTCTCTGCTTGTAGAGGAGGAGGAGTTGGAGGGTCCTGTTCTCATTGGTCAGCTGAGGCTGCGTCCTGCCTGTCAGGAGCTGGACCCTGCAAGCCTATTCTTTCTTTCTCCCAGACACTGCAATATCTCAAAGGGAATTTCTTCATAGGGAATTTGTACCTGTCCATGATGTATTTTGCTTCTTTTTTTCCCATCCCCTGCCCTGCCTTCAATCCATGCTTCTTCCTGGTTCCTCCTCTCTCATCTCATGGGCCAGTAAGGGATTTTCTCATTTCCCTTAAAGTTATGGTCATTTGCAGTTTCATGACCAAAGCCAATCCCGGCTCGGCATTCTGCAGTCTACCCAATCTCTGAGGTATTCACCACAGCTGTCTGTCTGTCCCTTAATGAGTCAGTTTGCTAGTGAGGATACCCTTCATACTGCAGAACAGCAAACCCACCTTTTAGAACTAGCTCTGTAGGCCAGACCCTCAGATTCTGTCCAGAGAAAGCCCTGGCCAAGTCTGGAGTTTTCTATACACTTGGCCCTCTGAGCTCTGACTTCAGGAAAAACTGGGCATGGTGAGAGCAGATAGTGCCAGAGGCCCCCTTGAAGACTGGAATTTGTGATAAATCTGTCATACCAGAGTATGATTTTCTCTAATGTTGAGACTTCACATCACTCAGGAGTGGCTCCAGAGATCAGGGCAGGTTAGGACTCCCTCCCAGCTGCTCCTCTTCCCCTGGTCACCCCACTGCTTCCTCTGAAGGTTTCTGTATGCAAAGCTGCTGGGCCTGTTGGTGGCTCTCGGGAGCACTGACAGCACACACTGGCAGCAAACGCAGAACATCCTGCCTGCCAGGGTGCCCGCCAGGCTGCCCGTGCTCCAGGAGACCTGCAGCTGAGGCCGGGCTTGCCTCCTTCCCCAGCCCTCCTGGGCCCCACTGGACTAGAAAGGGAGATCATTGGGACACAACATTGGGATCAGGAGGAAGGGAGCTCAGTGATAACAGTGAAAGACCAAAGCAGTGACTCCTCTTCGTGTAGTTGTGGGGAGGACCATGGGGACATAGATTTGTTTTCCAGAAGCACAGTATGGAGAAGGAGGAAGCCTCAGGCAGCAGAGGTAATGCTGCCTCTGGGAGTGGGACTTGCTTTCTGAGGGCACAGATTTCTCAGCCTTAGAAAGCTGTAGGATGGGGAGCAGGTCCCATGCTAGCCCTTGTGCTCTGAAGAGGAAGGAGCTAAATGCTCTAGTCCAAAGGAAATCAAGGCCAGAGAGAAGGAAATTCAGCCAGATGATTCCCCCCCCCCCCCCACCAATCCTTCCTTCATCCAGAGCCCCAGCCGGAGGAAGGGGAGAGTGGGGCTGGTGGAGGAAGCAGGAGCCTCAAATCTCTGCCTCCTCCGCTGACCTGGTGGCGGCTCCCATTTAGAGAAGGGCTTGTCCTATTCCCCACAAGGTCATCCAGCAAGGTGGCTCTAGAAAAGAGCCTCATGTTCTGCCCTCAGGCACCTGACTCAGCGGTTTGAGCTGCTCTAGGCCCAGCTCAGGGACAACTTGCACTGCAGCCAGAGTGGACTCTTACCAGGGATTGAGGAAGGCTCTGGAGGCCTGGGAGGCATCTTTCTCTGCAGCTCTGCACCTTTTCAGCAGTTCTGTCCAGCAGGCCCTAAGCACTGGGCCAACCCAGGACAGTGTCAGATGGTAGCCAAAGGAGGAGGCTGTGTCCTGCAGCGCCCACTTTGACCCAAACCTGTCCACTTACCCTGTCCCTACCACAGTGGGCTGTGGTAACAACTTGGACGGCTCCCGCCTGATCCCACATTCTGTGTAGCTGCCCAGCCAGGGTGAGGGGAGCCCCCTCTGCGCCTGGCCACGGATGATAGACTTGCTCTCCTCCAGCACCAGCTGATTAGCTAGGCTGCGCCGGAAGTAGGCAGCCGCGATCTCTGATTCCCCAGTCAGGTCAGGATTTCCTAGGGTCACAGTGGCCTGGCAGTCATCTGTCTGCCCATGGTCGCCGTCTAAGGGCCATGTCAGAAACTTGGCCTGCCTGCTGCTTCTGGGAGACAGCCTTAGCTCAGAGTGGCTGTGCCAGCAGAAGAGGCCTGTACCCCTACCTCAGTGGGGCTGAGCTGCCAGCCTGTGTAGGTAGCATGGAGGTGAGCGCCCAGCAGGCCCAGGGCACTTGTGTGACAGCGTGAGACATCTGGAAGTGGCTGCTCAGACCTCACTGACAGTGGACTTTGCTCCTCCGTCTGTGCTGGGAATCCATCTTGGCACATCTGTGCGGCGCAGCTCACCAAAACTCCCAGGATGGAGCCGCAGAAGTGGGCTAGTGTGCTCCCCATTTCAGTCCAGAGGACGGGGAGGGTCCGGGGCTCGTCGGCTGAGACCATCCTCCTGCCCCTTCCTTCCCCTCCAGCCAGCCACCATAGTGAGGACAGCCGTCTTGAGTGGTGCAACGTGCAGGTTTTGTTTGGTTTTTGTGGGGTGTTTTGCTACTGGGAATGGAGCTCAGGATGCTGCCTTGTCAGGCAGGCACTTAGGCGAGTGAGTTGTATCCCTCTCCTCGACATGCAGCTCCTAAGCCCGGTGAATGGGTAAGTCTCCAGTGCCCTCAGTAGTAGGTAACAAATAAGAAAGGGCAAGACCTCCAGTAACTCCTAAGAACAGAATCCTTGTTATACTAATGTGTACCGAACAAGAAGGGGAAGGTACACTCTTGTGTGGGAAACAGGAAAAAATAGAGGGCAAAAACAAACTGAAGAGCGTGATGCCGTGGTGTCAGGGTATTTGGTTTCAGGAAGAAAGCGGCCAGGTCGGGTCAAAATCACAAGCTGGTTACTGACCCTTTACTGCGCCTGCGATCTTACCTGGCTCTTTTCTCTCAGCTCCCCTTGCCTGAGCGCGTGGCTTCCATGCTATTGAGAACCCACAGCCCTGTCGCCCCTCCTCTGCCTCTGCCTGGGGACATGAGCTGGGCTGGCGCCCTGGTACCAAGCATCAGCACTCTCACGCTTTGTGCTCTGCTCTCACTACACTACCAACCCTTCGGGTCACCATTTGGAATCTTAGTGGGAATGAGTGGAGGCCGAAGACAGGGAGGGGAGGCGCGGCTGCGCCACCCTCTGCAGTCTCCGATGTGCTGCAGAGGGCAGGGCGTGGGCTGACCCTGTGCTGCCTGGGAGCGCACCCGTGAGAGTCTGGGAAGTGACGGAGCCAGCTCTCCCCACAAGGAGGACTGCAGAAGCATGACATGCTTTTGTTGAAAAGCAAGTGTTTCTTTAACGTAGACTGTGGGAGTAAGCACATGCCGGGTCTGTCTGCCTTTCTGTCTAACGGAGCTTTGCTTTCCCCGCAGTACCCTCTGGTGTACGGCCTGGTGCTCATCCCCTGCTGGAGCTCGCTGGTGTGCCTGAGCAGGATGTACATGGGCATGCACTCCCTGCTGGTAAGGAACGCATCCTCTCCTGCTTTTTCGACAGATGTGTATGAACCCTAAACGAGAAGATAGAGCTGTTGTACGTCTTGTACCCTTTACATTTATGTTTTGTAAAAACACCAACATAATGGCTGGTGAAGCGGTGAGGTCATAATTGTGTACCATTTCCAGCCGCACAGTAGCCAAGCACTGTGCCCAGCGTAGCGTGTATTCCTCTCCCAGTTCCCGTTTTATTTTCCTTTAGAATCTCTTCTGTGCCTTTCCTGTCACTGAGGCCAAACCAACAACTGCACAGAAGCCCAGGAGAGCTCTAAGTATTAGCCACAACATAGTGACTACAAGCTACATGAACTTAGACTGCCTGGTAGCCTTTCGGTTATGTAGGGAAACTCCCCCCCACCCCATCCCATTGGTGCCGTTTAGGACTCACAGGACATATTTTGAGAATGGAATTCAGTTTCAAAAGCAGTGACAAGGACCCTGCTCTCTGGACCCCCTCTCCTCCCTTCCCACCCTTCCTCCCTTATCCCGATTCCCCCCTGTCCTTGTGGCCTGCCCAGCACTCTGAGAGGCAAAGAGAGTCATCTGGGCAACTTAGTGAGAACCTGTCTCAGAATAAAAAATAGAGAGAAAGGGCTGAGGCTATAGATCAGTGCAAAGGCCTTGACTGCGGTCAGTCCCTAGTGTCACACTCAGAAAGTACTTTTAAAGATGAAAACTTCAACACCTTCTTAATTATGTTTTTGCAGTCAGGAGCATTTATGACATCAGTGACTTTGTTGTCAGAGATCCTGTTGGTATCTCTGGTGCACTAACACTAGCAGCAGAACACCTGAAACGTGTATGGTTCAGTGAAAACCCACTAGAAGACTGATGGCCTGAATTCCAGTCTTAGCAAATCACCAGCCCCTCTAGGTCTGTTTTCAGGTTAGGAGAAATAAATAGGCAATAAGTCTAGATGCAATACACAGTGACTAATCAATTTTTGCCATTTGATACCATCTATAAATTTGAGGATAATCCTGAATATTCCAGTCAAAGTCACAATTAGTTGGTAACAACTTTTAGCATTTAAGACTTATTTATAATAATAAGTACCTACCTAGTGGCATCACACACCTGTAATCTAAGCTGCTTTGGAGGCTGAGGCAGGAGGATCATGAGTGCTGGGCTGGCTTGGGAGCCTGGGCCACAACAAAGTCGTGTCTCGGCCCCTAACAGTGTGTGTGCTAAGGGCTGGTGTCAACACAGCTTAGTGAAAAGGACCCTACCACCCACACAAGGCTTGGTGATGACTGACCACTTACAATCCAGTTATTTAAATACAGGATGACCAGCCATTGCATATTTTTTCATTAATTTTTATAAGAAAAAGTAACAAGAAATATAAAAACTACAATTTTATCAAAATGTATTCAATAGAAGACTCAACTGCTAAAATGACCCTGCCTGAGTGATGCTCAGGTGGCCAATCTGTAAACAAGTATGCTGCCTGAGTGACACTTGGGGTATTGTTGAATGGTTAAGTGTGGCAATAATTGTAAAGTATTGGAATAATGCACTTAGTACAAAAGTATTATTTTTTTTGAGACAAGGTTTACTATGCAGTTTATGCTGGCCTTGAACTCACTATGTAGCCCAGGTTGGTCTTGAATGTACAGAAATCCTCCTGTCTCAGCCTCCTGAGTGCTGGGATTATAAGCATGCAGTACCATTTCAGGCTAGGAAGTATTACGACTGAAAAAACTTTTAGGCCAGGTTTAAGAAATTATGTATCATCTGTTTTTCTTACAGCACTTGTCAAGATGTAATTATACAGTCAGTGTGGTCCAGAGAATCACTTTAATTGTCTTAATTTAGCTAACATTTATTCCCTGTTTATTATATGCCTTGCACTGATGGCATACCTATAATTAAGATGCGGTTTTTGCTTTTGAGAAGTCACTGTCTGGATATGTAATATAAATATGTAATGTAATTTTGCTCTGGGAATGCACATTAGATTAATTGGGGAGATATTAAACAACGCCACCCCCACCTCCACCCCACCACACACACATTTTCTGTTCAGTTAGATCAGAATCTCTGGAGATGGCCTCAGGCGTCAGTGTTTTTGTAATGGTCTCCCAGGTGTATTTAACCTGCAACGAGGTGGTAAACTTGCAGTTCTCTGGGAGAAGTAGAGAAGCAAGGAATGGAAGACTGTTAGAGGTATGTGGAGGACACGCTTGGCCTTCCAAGGAGAAAGCTCCTTTCTGTGTGCTGGGTGTTGGACCCATGGCTTCTCTCGTGCTGTGCAAACATTCTCCCACAGAGCTGTGCTCAGCCTGTCTTGGTTACTTTCTCTTAGTGCTGACACAAATACCCAGTGCCAGAAATGCAGGAAGGAAAGGTTTATTTAGCTCACAGGTTGTGGAGGTTCGGTCCATAATCAGCGGGCTCCAAGGCCGGGTGGCATGGCACCAGGGCAACGCTTCACGGTGGCAGAAGACAGCCCCACGCTGCGTCACTTGGTTAAACTTCTAAAATGAATCAGTCCTAACACAGCCCCAAGAAGGTTCCTTACAGTGGAAAGAAGGCAACTGAGCAGAATCCCATAGAATGTTTTACAGCTTACCAAAATATGAAGCTCAGTGACATCAGAAGCCAGAAATGAAATGGTTATGTATAAGAAGTTTGAATGCACAAATGGCATGTGTTGCTATAGTTGGTAGCTTCTTAAACATGCTGTTAACTAATTATATATTTTCCTGTGCATATTCTAAAGAGACTATATAAAAAGAACACTATAGTCCAGGCATGATGGTGCATGCTTGTAATCCCAGTACTCAGGAGGCTGAGGCAGGAGGATCTCTGTGAATTTGAGGCCAGCCTGAGCTACAAAGTGAGTTCAAGGCCCACATAGTGAAACCCTCTCTGAAAAAGAAAAAAAAAAAATGCCTTAAAAGAGAACACTGTAAACTTTTAAATAACTTTGTTTCATATTGTAGAATAAGCGGATATCCACAAAACATTTGTTTTACATAGAAACCAATTTTGTAAATATTCTTATTTACTTTGAGGGGCTGGGAGTTGAATCCATTTCTTATGTTTACAGTGATACAGCAAGACATTCATTTATGAGTCATTTGGTAGATTCTCTTAAAATAGTTAAAGCTACTTCCTTTGAAAGGTTGGCTTATATATTCATTCAGTCAGCAGATACCTCCCTCAGTAGTTGCTGTTGCTAATCTGTCAGAGAAAGTGGTTAAGCAGAGCAGAAGTCACTTTTCCCAATTTTTGTTAGTTTATTCTGCGGGGTTCTGAGTTGGAGTTGAGTGTAATTTAGGACAGTGGTTTCAAGCACTGTTGACTTGGCTTCTCCATGGCAGGGTTTTGTTGAGTTGTAGCACTTTGGCATAATTGTGGAAGGTATTCATTTACTCACATTTATTCAGTGGAAGCCACCTGTTCTCTCTTGGGTGGGGGGGGCCCTCACGCTGCAGGGTGCAGTGTGTTCCCAGTCTTACTTGGCCCAAACCTGATCTGTAGAACCTGTTTCCTTTCCCTCCCATTAATAAAATTTTGCTACCATTTGTGCTTGTCTTGACCAATTCTCAAGGCCAGCCTGAACTGTCACAAAATCCTGTCTCAAAAAAGCCTAAATAAATAAGTAAATAAGTAGGGGTAAGGGCTGTAGCTCAGTGGGAAACTCTGGGAGTCTAACCCCGGCACAACAAACAAGCAAGCTAATTTACTCAGTTAAAAGGACTGGTCTTTAGATTGTTTGGGTTTTTTGAGTCAGGGTCTCACTATGTCACCCAGACTGGTCTTTAACTCCCAGCATCCCCCTGCCTCAGCCTCCCACGTGGTGGGATTACAGGTATGTGCCACCGTGCCCAGCTGGTCAGCATTATTTTAGAATGTGTAACTGTGTCAGGGTATGTCTGATTTGGGGTGCTTGTGTAATGCTAGGCACAACTACCCCAGTTTTGACACTGCAGAATGTCTAGACCAGCAAGGAAGACCAATAATTCCTAAAACAGGTACCAGTTATTATAAGCTTTTTTCTATATGTAACACTTCAAAAAAATTGATGAAAATAAAACATATGAAAGAGCTAAGATTATAATTTAAGAGTTAAAAAAAACAGAACAAACGCTTCCTCTTCTTCCGGGTGTGGCAGCTTGTGCTGTAGCCCCAGCCGCTAAGGTTCCTGCAACAGGAAGATTGCGCCAGCCACGGGTTCAGAGCCAGCCTGGGCCGCATCATGAGACCTCGGCTCCAAACAAAACAGAGTAGTGAAAGGAGGAAGAGGTGGACCAAAATGTAGAATTTGGTCAGAAAAGATACACGTACACAGTAGAGAAACGTGTGCCGTGTAAGGGGAGAAAGACAAGGGATAAGCAGTATTATGAATTACAATAAAAATATTAAAAGCCACGCCAGGGATTTAAAGAGCACTGTGATTAGAAAATTGTACTAATACGCTTATGCCAATAAATTTTAAAGCTTAGATGAGAAGAGCTTATTATAAATAATGACTAAAGAAAAACTGACCCAAGATGAAACAAATCTTTAAAAGAAATAGAACCAGTGACTAAAACCCACCCACAGGATAGACTGGAAGGGGACACGGGGCACACTGGGGTGCTGAAGTGCCCAAGCTGGGCTCAGACTTCGGCCCTCCCGACCTGCCCCCTGAGTGCAGGGATGACAGGTGTGCTGTCTGGCTTCCCCAGTGCTGAAGGTCACACCTCGGGCCTCATGCACACAGAGAGAGCAAGTAGTAGCCTGGGCCACATCTAGCCCATCACTTTTACACCTGTCAGTTTTTTCTATTACATGGACTAATGCTGCCTGAATAATGTTATCAGAAGAAACAATGAAATGTCATTGTTCTGGGGAATTGAACTCACGACCTCGCGCTTGCCAGGCTGGTGCTGCTAAGCTAAATCCCCGCCCCGAAATACCGTTGTTCTGTTGCTGCCTTTTTCAATGAACGTTTTATTGCCTGCCAAAATACCACT